TGCCAGGTGTGTTGTCCAAGATAATCAAATAGTGTAGAAGTCGGATGACTTTGTAACCAATCTGTGAATTCGCTTACACAAATCAGAATAGGTAGACGAGCTGGTCCGAAATGTTTCTTTTCGTCACCAACTTTAATCGAAACTTGCTCTAGATCCTCTGATATAGCTCGCGCAAATTCATGGGTTAACCATCGAGCCAATGTTGTCTTTCCACAACCTGAACTGCCGAGAAGAACAATCCAACGATGATCTCGAATAATTTGATCGACATGAACATCAAGCATAGTACTACTTCGTTGTTTACGAAGAGTTTTAGAGGGAATAAATGAAGTAGATAAATTTTGATTAGATAGCTGCTCAGATGCATAGTTGATGTTTGACTCTAATCGTAAATTGGGACAAGTAAGAGGAATACAAATACGTTTGAGAGCTTGTGTCAATTTTTGACGTTGTGGACACTTAAGGTAAACAGTATGCTCTTGTTTGTCAGCGAATAGACGATTCAATAAGGTATCTATATTGTCACATACATCGTTGACATAGAAATAAGCATGAAATTGCATGCATTGTTTAAGATAGGTAGTGAGTGTTGTTGAATGTTTCCTTTTCAGTGCTAGTAAACTTTGTCGATCGCCAATTGTCGAATACGATTCGTGTTCTCTTTCCTCTAATTTGAGTTCGTACGCGAGTAGAGCATTATTGTCAGTATGATAAAGTTGATCATAGAAATTTCGTCGTTGATTCAATACCTGTACAGCTCCATCAAATAAAGAATCGAAACCTAATGATCTTCGGTCGTAACTACCAAAATAAATTGTAAATGTGTGCAATGTACGCGCCAATAGACGACAGAAGAGTCTGAAAGAATTTGAATTACATTCTCTTGTACTTTGATCTTGATATTCTCTTTCATGAGAATTTCTTGTAAATATTTTCTGAAATTCATCGATCTTTTTTATTAGCTCATCCATTTCTTCAATCGATGTCTTGCTAGCGAATCGAGCCGATTTGAATTCTTGATGGGCGATATTTTCCTGCTCTGTTAGCTTGCGAATACGTAAAAGCTCTTTTTTCAGTGACTCGAAATTGTCAACTGTAATCTTTGTCAAATCTTCATTCCTAATCGGCCAAATATAAACGATGAAATAAATGATAGGTCACAAGAGCGGAAAGCAAAGTATATTTAACTTACATATTGGATTGTTTCAATGGCGAGTGTGCCATCTATTTATGATTTTTGTGTCACATGAAAATTAATTTGATATCTATGATGAACAAAGGAAAAAAGGTAACATTTATTATCATTGTTCCTATCTATTTGGCATCTCAATATTGGCTTATGCATTAATATGTGCGGAAATCGACATCAACTTCGGCCAAATCAAGTGACAAAAAAAAATTCGTTATTTATTCAATACAAATTTACTTTAAATTTTCCAGCCTCAAAAGACGAGAAGTTTATAAACCGATTGTACTGTTTGAGAAAAGAAGGAACTATTCAGATGCAAATGTCTAGTGCGCCAGTGCAATCAACATTTCCGACTACTTGGACAACAACTATTGTCCGAGCACTTGTATTATTTTCGACGGATGTCCACTTTCTCATTTAATTTTCAAGTTATTTCACGAATAAGTGCCACTGCAATTGAGCAAAATTGGAGATTTTGCATATCATTTGATCGAGCTCATCGAACTCTATCGATCGATATATAAAGTGGTTTTCAAAAAACGTCGTCTCATACGTAGTTCTGATTACTGCTCCGACAGGCTTCATTCTTTTTTTGTTAGTTTTAGCATGGGCCGATAGCATACAAAGGAAACTATATAATAAGATTGTTTGATATTTTTGAAATTCATCTGAAAGAAAAAAATGCAAAATATAATTGTAAACATCGGAAGTCATAGAAAACTTATAAAATAAGATTACAGCTATGGAATGAACAATTGTTATCTACTGCAAAAATTAGAGACTAGTGTTAAGTAACACATAGAATATTGAAAACTGGAAACTAAGAAAACGTTTGGAAAGGCAGGTAAAAATACCTGAAAATTTTCGAAAAATATCAAGGTAGATAAAAAAGGACTAAATACTCTTCTATTTCATTTTCAAATAAAGAAAGACGTCTGAAACTAATATAGTGTTCATGTCTAGAAAGCCTTATTGAACATAATTTAAACGAATCCGGATTGCGATATATATAGAAAATTAAAAAAAAAAGAAAACTTTGAAAAGCTCGAATTTTTTTTTATTATTTCCAACTTATTTCAATATATTGTGTTTTTCTCTTCCAGATGAATTTCAAAAATATTAGAAAATTTGATTATTTGTCTTCTTTGTAGACTATCGACCCATGCTAGAGTCTGTTGAAGATTCTAAAAATCATGAAAATACATTCTAGAAACAACAGTAGTTATACTATCCACTTCTGCCACTTCCACTTGTATTCTACAGTCACTTTTGCTAATATCCGTATCCGTACAGTTGATGGTCAAATAAAATCATTCAAAAGAAAACAGGGAAAATTTGTTTGAGTTTTGTACATACTTCACTGTTATTTGCGAAAGTATCTTATACGGACGTTTTTATCGCGACGAAATGCGTCATACTGAGAAGGAAGTACGAAATTTAGTTATACGAAGATTATTTATCATTCGTTCTTTATAATAATTAGTCATCTGCCTCCCTTCTCTCGACTCTCGTTGTGACAAAAGCAGAAGCATGGCTATGAATAAAGCAGAAAAATCGAAAAAAAAGGAGTACTTTTCTCACTGACCGATAGAAAAAACATGTTGGCTTTTTCACAGTATTTAGTTTTGTTCTTTGCCTTACTTATTGAGATATTAGGAGAACAATCGTTGACTCAGCTTTTTATCAAGCACACTTTACACATTATCATATTTAATCTTTCTCTCCTTTTCTTTTCTTTTCTTTCTATATGCATGATGCAATATACTCAGTCGATGAAAAGAATAATTCAGAGAAAGTAATAGAAATACCAAGACGGAGAAGCAATAAAATAAGATACGAGCAGAAATGCATTTTGGCACAATCAATAACACATTTTCAAAAGATGACCCAAGACAGCCTATCATTGTATAGTGTGGATGTGGGGTGTGGGTCTGGGGTGGGTGTTGTTATTCCCTTTTCTCATACCCACACCCCACACTCACGCTCCACACCCACATCCCATACCCCACATCCACACCCTATGATGCTTGATTTCATTAAAATAAATTAACTGTAGTAAAACTAATCAATACAGTTTATAGGGTGTGGGCGTGTGGATGTTGGTGTGTGTTTCGGTACAGAAAATGATACAATCAACATCCACACCCACACCCAAAAAAATAATAGATAAACTGCTAGTAATGATGTCTTTTAAAGAAATGCCATGGAAAGAATTATCTTTTATCAAGACTTTGAATATTTTTCTTTAATTTAACTAACAAGCATAGATTTTTAGCGAATGAGTATTTCAGGAAATTTTTAAGGGTGAAAAACAATGCCAAAATTTGTTATAGACACTTTTTTAAAATTTGCATTATTCATTCTTAAAGAAAAAATTATGGAATTGATTTACAAGTTTTTTTAATTAACAAAAATTAGACTTAACATATGATCATTTCATTTATTTAACTGAAATCATCAATGATAAGATTGATGCATTTTTCTGTATTATATAAAATGCGACTCTATCCATTTTTTCAATCATTCTTTGTGTCTTAGCATGTTGCATTTGATAATTTATGGGATTTTTTTTCGTCCCAAGTTCTGACTGATAGACACGCATCTATAGAAAGATAATTTCATATGATTAGTGTAAACGTAACAACATATTTCTGTTGTACAACAAATTTCACGAAAATAATAACATATGTGTGATACACGCGAGCATGTAAAAAGAAGTGCAACAAATAATTCTGTTCAAATAATTGTTCAAAGTGAGGTCTGGTCGTTGATAAAGAATAACAATCATAGAGAATCTTCAATTTTGGCCAGTGTCAACACATGACTAACTGTTGACGATTCCAAAAAAAGTAAATAAATAAACATCATTCGATTTATCTTGATATTTGATTTATTTATATCCAAATTTCTACTGTTCATGACACTACTAATCTTAATTGAGAACGTTATTAATCTAAATTTACCAATTACAATAAAGATAATTTTGTTTAGAACTATTTCTAGTTATTTTTCAATAAAATAATTCAAACTTTAATTTTATAACGAGTATTTGGTTCCTGATATATTTGATGAGTTATGATTGCAATATTTCCTGTTAATAAAACACAAATTGATCATTTCAAAAGGCATATGTTAATAAGTCTCTAAAAGATGCTTGCGAAATTTTTACTTAAAACAATTCAGAAGCAGGACTAAGGGGAAAGCGAATTGATGTTAAGACTTCATAACACTTCTAAAGACTACAAAATAATCTGATTTTATAATCATACAATCATTTAAATTATCGAAATCTTCGAACAAAAACAAATTGAAATACATTAACTAGAAGACTATCATGAGAAATTAAATGTCAAATTTTCATATACTATCTATCAGCATCATAATAATCTTTCTAATCTAAATTATAATCATATAATCACACCTGAAAGAGTCTAATTGAAATTAGCGTGAGCGCTAATTAATACCAATAGTAATACTGTAGGTATTAGTATTATGATTAACTCTAATGTATTGACATTATTTATATCAGTAGTGATTAATATCAAAGAATTAGCATTAAATAAACATTATTATACATGCTAATACATAGATTACTAACAAATAGATCTCGGTCACTCTAACCTGAGAAGTTCCCAATACAGTGCAATTTTGTTCTGTTATCGAAAAATGTCGAACATGAACTCAGAGATGTATACAGTTGCAAGTAACATATGTAATACAATTAAAACAAATGTTAGTTTAATGTTAATAGCTGATATTAATTAATTCTAGTACAAATAATAGCAATCCATTGAAAAGTTAATTTTAATAATAATGTCTAAAGAATTACCATTAGTCTAGTACTAATTAATCTGAATGCTGCAATCACATATATACAGCTATAATCTAATTTATTATAAGAACGTAGATCATTTATTTTTTAATTTCTTTCTTTGTTTGTTTAATTTAAATATGTCCAAAGATTTTGATTATGAAAATCAGTGATGATTTTTAAGTTTCTTTATTTAGATGTTAAAAAATAAACAAATAAAATTGTTTAGTGCATATTTTTTCTTCGATTTCTGACTAGGATTACAAATCTTCATGCTACTCCTTTATGCTAGATGCTGCAATAGAGTTTTTCGAGTGTTCACCAGATTTCATGCGACTTCATATAATGGCAAAAAAAAACGGGGGCAATTTCTCTGAAGTTTAACGATTCATTAGCTTTGATTTTTTCGACAAAGCAATACGTAAAATGTTGGCTAGAGTTCATTCCGATGACCTTTGTCTTTTACTTGTTGATGAAAACTGCCAATTGAATCTTTCATTGTTTGTTTATCCGAAATAAACTTGTTTTATTTTAGAGTTACTTAGAAGCTTAAATCATTAAAT